TTCGTTTAAAATTTCGTAGGAGAAAACCCCGTTCAGTGTCCAAAATCAACGTTTTCTACAATTTTTTCTTTTTCTAGCTTATGAAGGTCAACGACTTCCTATCCGGTAGCATGGTCTTATTTTGGTTGCGGATCTATATCTATTGTCCACGGCTGCATTCTATTGGTAGACTTTTAAAATATTCAGTTACGATATACTGGACGCACCTCTTATGTTAATGATCTCTATCTATCTGTTCTTTAATATGTTGAACTTTAGAATTTACCCACTGTTCCGACGTATGGCGATCTGTTGATAAAAACATTTAGCTACAACTCGTTATACTGTTATCGTACCTGCAGTATACTAAATTAAGCTTTCCGAAACATAAGCGAAACAATTTCTCAGAGACTTCCAGTAATCTAAAATGGGTCAGGAATCGGCAAAAAAATCAGTGAAAAGGTATTCATGGAAAGGAATATTCAATTATTTGCCAAAATCTGATACGCAGCCCGTCTCAAGGTGAAATTTACAAAATCAGATCAAAGCAGCATTTTTACATGGGTCGTCTAGGGAAACAAGTGATTCATTCCATATTATTATATATTATATTATAGTAATGTAGATCGATTTGAAATAATGTGGCATAATGTGGATCATATTGAAGCGGTATATATAAATGCATCTGTTGAGTAGAATAAAGATATATTGACTAGAGTTAACTAGGGCAGCTGGTTTTAAACTCTGTTGATAAATGGTGTAGGTATTAGTTAGCACCACCTATTTTAATGTTCTATGCGGTGCCAGTGTTTTAGGTGGGAAAAGTTTGATACTTAAGAGCGGTTAAGAGGTCGAGCTTCAGGTCCTATAATTGAAAGACGGCATGAGAATAAAATGTTTTTAACTAATAATAATAATAATAACAACTAATACTAATTTATTCAGTGACTGGGTTGAACATTGTTCGAAACACAAATTGGTAGCAGAAAGTAAGTTTTGAGGAAATTTGGTGGAAGTGGCACTCTCCGGGATAGATAACGGTAATTCTAAATCAAGATTGTCGTCTAAATAAAAAAAAATACCCGTCCAACATATTCCTTTACAAGTGGATTAAATGAGGATCAATCTGCGCAAGCCATTTTGATAGCAATCTATACCACTGTGGCTTCAAAACGGTAGAAGCATCGATTTAGTGCAGTGTCAGGCACATATGAAATCGTGAGGTGCATCGTATTGGTAAGATTCGAGTTAACGATCCCTAGCTTTTTTCAGCCAATAAATATCAACATCATATGTACTAACACAAAATTAGTATATATATATATATATATATTCTTGCGTCTGGAAACTTCTAGAACGTAAGGTCTAACCTATAAACATAGAAAGTGCCTATAAGAGACACTAAAAGAATCTCTTTTTCTACCTATTTAGATGACCGAAGGTGCCTGAACATATGTTTTGCTAAAACATAAGTGCAATCAAAGATATTGTTGCTAACAAAGTCACATACATGTATATAGCATAAAAGTCTAAGGACGTTTTATTATGTGTCAATGTACTAGAAATGAGTATTTTCCCACTCTTTACGTAAACACTTTTAGCGCATTTGTATTACGTTTGTCATACCAACTCATTTGACATGGAGGGCAGCGAAGCCCGCGGGGAAGTTCCATAAGGAGAGCACAGAGGGAAAAGGGGAAAAGGGCGGAGCCTTTAGGCAGACCGAGCTAAGGCGGCAGTGGACGTGGGACCTCCGCTCGCAGACTCCGCCCACAGCGATTCGAGCAGTTTTGTCGGTGCTACGCCGCTGGCGAAGCAAAGAGGATACAAAACAAGGCTGAAGTTTGTTCTCTTAGTTAGCATAGCTTTGGCTAAGTCTTACGAAGCTGATTTGAAGATGCGTATATGTCGGTATATATGTATGTATGTATGTATGTATGTGAGCTCTGCTGCGAAAGCCTGACTGATCCAGGTCTAAGACAAACTTCTAGCGGCGGAAAGTGCCGGATCACAGGAAACCGTAGAAAGGCTGCACGATCACACTCAAAGCGCTAGGGCGGTATCTGTTCAGCTACAACTGCATGACAATAGAAAACACCTCACACTGGATAATCTGGTGCCTGTACGGAAGTACTCTCTTATAACCAACGGCTTGAAAAACTTAAGACAACTTATCTAATCTGTAATTGAGGATCAGAAACAGGAAGACAGAGATAGGTCAGCGGCGATAAGTAATGATGGCAAATAAAAGTACTTTGAACAGCGGCTATATAAGCTTTCAGACGGATCTGTTATGCAAGATGCTGTAGCATGATACCATGAAATCGCATACGATTTATTCACTACTGGCAGTTTGGCTGAAAGCCTATTTAAGGCACTGTAAAGGAAAAGTACATGTTCTAATTATTCTATTGTTCTAAGAGTAAAGATTTCCTTTTAAATTTTAGCTAATACTAGCTGGAGTTGTCTGTTGCTCTATTAAGTAATGTCGTTTTTGTCCATACAAATCTGTGTTTCATTATTTTGTTCTATAAGGATCGTTCTTGAGAAAGCTTTATGTCGAGCAGGAATTGCAAATTCTAGGTAAGGCTTTGAGTAACACGGATTTTTAATGCGTTGCAAAACGAAGACTGGGATCACTGTTCAGCAGAATACATGAGTAGCAGGTAATATAATAGAACCACGGGTTAGCAACTATAGGATTTCGTGTGCGTACCACACCCAACCATTGAGGATACTGTATGCCGCCAGTACTGGTGCATCTGCCAGGCGCGTTTAGGAAATACGTTGTCTTATGTTCTCAGTTAACTTATCTAATCTTAAAAACGGTCGTTTGGAATTAACTGAAATTTACACGAAACTAACACGAAAAGTTTCGCTAAAGTATGAACATCGCACATCCCATTGATACCTAGGGAGAACGTTTGTTGTAGATTTCTGAAGTATGTGTAAGTGTTCGGAAGCTCTGTTGTTAAACCTTGGTGTGGAATTATTATCCTTCTATCATTCCGGTCAGGTGACTAGTTATTATCCTACAACCTACCTAATGCCACTATTCTGTATGTGTAATCCTTGGTACTGTCTCCATATTCGAAACATCTTCTTCTCGTAATAATACTAACGAATTGTACTGCAGTGCACTTCATTAAAGTGTGGGCTTCGTAAGCTGTCACCGAAAATGTGGAAGCTGCTAAATTGAAGTTCCTTAAAAAAAACACTGATAGCCTTATATGGTTTTTGAGCCTGCCTCTTGTTGTGGAGTAAGTACACATTGAAGCAGTATCGCGTACATTTTTATAGTAACTACTGTTTTCATACGTATTCCTGCATACCTAGTTCAGTATAATATTACAGGTTTGTAAATTTGAATTAAGTTTATTCTGTTAACAGCACTGCCTATACGATATCTAAACACATAGTAAGCAATTTATACATATCCATAGAGCTAGCTAGTTTCTGTCTTTGTAAAAAGTAGGCTAAGAACGGCTTTTCTTTATTGAAGAGTGGACGTCGACGTATAATCCTCTTGTCAGCGATAACATGAAAGATGTTAATGAAGTGTAGGTCCTACATTGTTTCTAACTATGGTTTTATGCTTCGCCTCTGCGTTCGTTATGGACGATACTGCGACATACTGGCAACCTTAACGGCTTACATGATACATCAAATTAAATAGGTGTTTTGTTGGTAAACATGCTGAAGGACAGGGTTGCATCTAGTCTAGGTCAAGCAGGGTCACGACCCACTTGGATATACAACACACAGCCAGTTGGATAAGTGATCAGACGGTTTAGCGGGGACGCCACGAGCTTCGCATTCTGTAGCCTGTCTAGTAGAATATAAAGTATCTGTCAAATGCCATAAGCATGATATAGTACATAGTTTTAATACCATGATATTTGATTTTAGGGACTCTGACTTCTCTAGTGAGGTATTTCTTTCCGAGACGCATAAAACGAATGGGCTTTTCATTACTAATAGAACACAACACCAATACACATTCACTGTTAGCCAACGAGCGCAGTGAAGCCTCAAAACACGGTACACCTTGTAGGCGGTTAACTTCTATATATGTTATAATCAAGCCATTCTCAATGCTGATGTATCAACTACAAAAAGTCAGATCGGCCGAAAGGTTACTGCATCATATAGATTATTGTTGCAATTGATTCGAGAATATATCCTATATCGCCTATAGTGTATATATATAGCCTATATCGACATGCGTCAGTTATTTCGTATACATAAGTCGGCCATAGACTGAGCCTTGCAGCTCAAAAATGAATAATTTCCTAGGGCGTCCACTTTATTATTGCCTAATGACTAGCAAAACTATAAACCTGCTAAACTATAAAACCCTTGTCGGTTAGCAATAAATATCACCTATATACTGTTATGTTCCACTACATAAACTCGTTACTTATTAAGACTGCGAGATAATCGTGTTAAAGGTTTACTGTCGTTGAAAAATAACTTTTCAGCAGGTGACTATACCTGGATAGAGAAAGGTGACGAAGGGCGGACATTTTTGGACATAGCTTCCCTTCCAACCCCCAAAAGAATCAATTAATCGCTAAGCAATTGACAGACTTACTATGTTTTAGGCTTCTGTCAGTTATTTTTAGGGGAACTTCTTTAGAATACCAAATCTTCGTTGCGAAAGAGGCCGTGTAGTGAACCCTGTGTTTTTGTTATATATATTTGCAGTATCAGTCGATGTACATCTTTGAGTGAATTTCGCTAACTGCTCCTTAGGCAAGCTATGTCCGGAAGGGCATTTTGTTGTCATCTTTTTGTAGCAATAACAAATGGAAATTGTAAAAAGTTCGACATAAAGACTAAGCATGCAGATGCTTCTGTATCACGAAGGCTGTCAGTTCTCGTTCTGTCGTACGACTTTTTTATCGTCACAAGCCGTTCTGCGCTAAAATATGACGCGTACTCGTGCCTTGCTTGATATGAATACGATAATACGAAATATGATTATAGAATTAAAGTATGTATTTGATATGTCATTGCAGAGAACTCAGTGGATATAGAAATGTCTCTTTGCAAGGATGAACCTCGAGAGCCGCCCTCGCCGCTTGAACCAGATCCGTTTGCCGCAGCTCAGCAGTATATATCTGTACAGAGTTATTGCGCTGAACTGTATGATAACCAAAATCTTAAATTAACCAATGATACCCTCAAAAATTTTGAGGGCCGCGGGAGGGGCAAGGATCGACTCAACGGAATGCTTGTCTGCGTCGTCTGTGGTGATACGTCTTCGGGGAAACATTACGGTTAGTTATTCCATATAGCTCCCCTTTTTAAAGGTTTGTAAAAAAACTGGTTTTCTGTGTCCTCGAAAAGTAAACTAATCTACTTCATGTTCGTGATTAACATTTACGCTCGGTAATTTTAGTTAATTTCTTTTACTTGATCAAATAATCGTTGATCTTTACCGGTCACATTGTTATCAATTTTTTCGAGCAGGAATTCTGGCCTGCAACGGTTGTTCGGGCTTCTTCAAACGTTCTGTCAGGCGCAAGCTTATATATCGATGTCAGGCAGGCACTGGGCGTTGTGTGATAGATAAGGCCCATCGCAACCAGTGTCAGGCCTGTCGTCTCAAAAAATGTTTGCAGATGGGAATGAATAAAGACGGTACGTGCATATGTCGTTAAGCAACATCTATTAACGTTTACCGTATAAGCCTAACCACTTACATCAATACCGCGAATTTGCCACTAATTGATATTGCTCTTTTAGCTAGTAAGATGTGAGACAGATTTTTGCTTTGGCAGTGTCAGCTGAAGTATAATATAGCATTTAATTGCTTTGGTGTTCAGAAAGTATTCCAAAATCAAATCACGTAGATGAGCACTTAGTTCCACAAATATCTATCTTTTTTTGTTGCTTTTTTTTGACCTAAAAAAATCAGATACTAAACATAACTCATATTTAATGTAAGTACCTAATAGTATTATAATTTACAACCTGTGCAAAATAAAGCGGTACAAAACGAACGTCAACCTCGAAATACGGCAACCGTCCGCCCGCAAGACGTTCTTAACTCTTCGGCTGTGTCTGTATCTTCATCGGATCAGATCGTCAATCTAAATACTGCAGTTGGTATTTGTTCCCCCGAATTGGCTCACTTTAAATTCTCTTCAAATACATCGGCGAAGAGCCCAACGTCGTTACAACTGTCTCATGGACCCAGAGACCATTCGGCAGCTGCAACCGCATCCATTTCAAACAATAACGTCCACAGTTCTGTTAACAGTAGCAACAGCAGCGCTACTGGAACCGGTAACAACATTTCCTTAAGCAATCACGTCAACGACGACCACAATAGCCAACATAGCAATAATAAAGGCAAGTGGAAGGCATTTGCTAACAGTTTTAATCTATGTGGGTCTATCTTTAATACAGCTTCACCTTAGAACCTAACCGTAGTTATTTTCAAAATATCTCCTCTTTTATCTGGCCAAAACTCTTCACAAACAGCCATGTTTCAAGCTATATTGGTGAACTTAGAGTCTATACAGTGTCGATTAAATACGCTCCATAAAAAAAAAAACGAGTAATATCAAATAGGTACATATCTTAAAAAAAATCAAACTTTCAAAACGGTCCGAAGTTGAAAAATGTGTAAAAAAAATCTGAAAAATTAGTCGTTGTTCGACGACCCAGTTGACAGCCGCTGATTCCTATCAATAATCCGGAATGATCAGAAATGGCTTTTTGCGTCCATCTGATGGATTTCCTTGAAACCTATTAAAGATGTTTGATTCACAGAAAATTTTTCGGCATTGCGGCAGTCGCATAAAACCTGACCGTAATGTAGATTATGGATTTCGGGCAAAAAGTGACGATTTTAATCTTGGTGCGGTTTGGCCAGTGCTAATATTTCCAACAACAGTTAACATTTGGTTATACGACGAAGAACGAATCTGTCACCTTCAGTTATTATTATTATATTATTATTAATTAATTATTTTAGACAGTGTTCCATTACGTCCGTGCTGCCAGCGATTTTTTTCAAATAGTATGTGAGTCGATGGTTTAGATTGTACGGAACGATGTAGAAGAAATAAGACAAGTCGAAACTGTCAACAAGGACACTGCATCATTATTCATTGGATGGGTGCTTTTGGATCCTAATCAGAAAATGCTCAATTATCTATCTATTTATTCTAAAATCGAATAACGAATATATCTAAATGTTTGAAAAAATGATAAGATAAATGTGCGTAAAATCTCACATTTACGTAACTTCTTTCATAGGCAAATATTGTTGCCGGCCAATAGGGCTTTCAATGGTTATAGTGGCATATCTACTAGCTGTAGTTACTGAAACGCATTATTCAATAAGGTAGGGGTCTCGAGCTGCAAGCTGACAGAGGTACGATTCAGATGCTATTGCTTCTGTAGGGAGTGCACAAAGCTGCATCAAAAAAATTCAATTAATAGTTTGTCTGTCTGATAAGTTTCCTTTTTCTGAAAAAATGATCTGGGCCTCGTGAGTAAATTTTAGGCTGAAGAATAACAGAACTCGATAAAAGTGCGCATTATCCAATTCTTTGGCTCCAAATAGAATATTACTTTTCAACATATAATTGCACGTCTTTAGAGATGATTATCCAAAATCAAACAACAATCAAATTGCTTATCGCAGAGGATCCAGATGGTACTGGTTCTGGGTCAAGCGCTTCGTCGAAGGACTGTGGTTCACCGCCACCAGTAACGTCACCTAGTCCTTCTAGACCGACGTCCTCGTCGTCTGGTGGCCATACTGGCCTAACACCTTCGCATCTCTCGAGTCTACCACTTCTGCTAGGAATGGGAGGCTCCATTGGATCGACTCATTCTGTAAGCTCACTAACATCGCCATTTATCTACCCTACTAGTCAAGAAAGTATTTACGAAACATCGGCGCGTCTTCTGTTTATGGCTATTAAATGGGCTAGAAATTTGCCCTCCTTCGCAAACCTGCCGTTTCGCGATCAGGTTAGTGAGTTATCACTAAAACGCAAACAGCTTCGCTTTATCAATTATTCGACCAAGTACTATATAATAAGAACTCTAGATGTAACTTACAGCATCATATATAAGGCTTCCAAAACAACAAACATGAAAATTACTAGATGGCGCTACTGACCAATAATGCTTTAAGTAAATCTTGAGTTATTTAGATGATATCGCTGCGTTGTACCGCGCCGGCGCTGGAACAGACCGAACTGATTATGTGAAAACTAAGTGGGTAATGCTCGGAATCGGAATAGAAATATTACAATTATTACTCTAATACTCGCTAATTAGGTGGAATAAGAGTATTGGATTGCTTTATCACAGATATACATTCGCCACTCCTGAGGCCTTCCTCAATTGGGAATCGTTACTCGGATCTAGCCTCAATATGCCATGTAATAACCTATACATATAGTACAGCTTCTGTAGTATCTTGAGAAAAACGAATATTTCATTTCGTCAAAACGCTTTATATAATTCAACCTTAGTAAACAATCATAGGAACAATCCGGTTTAAACAAATAAAGGGTACTCAGAGGCCGTCATGCGACCCTTGTGGCGTTCCAAGGAGTCTCACGACGCATTATCTAGAAATCACGTAATCTTCGAAGGAAAATGCTACCCCACATCAGTTATAAGTTCCATAAGCATAGCGCAGCTTCCTTGACACCCTGTGTTTCAACATGTCTAATGAGGCAACTTATTGTTTGTTACATTTGATTTTAGGTAATTCTTTTGGAGGAAACGTGGTCCGAACTATTTCTACTTTGTGCTGTGCAGTGGTGTTTGCCTCTGGATGCAACGTCCCCCTCATCTCCATCCGGCGGAGTTCATCCTTTATTTGACGTCAACGAGCACCTTGCGTGCTCTCCAAGCCTTAAGGGTAACCTTCCACTAATTAATGCCGTTCGCCAACTGCAGGAAATCCTATGCAAGTTTCGGTCGGTGTGCGTCGATCCTGCGGAATTTGCTTGCTTAAAAGCGATTATCTTGTTCAGGGCAGAGGCTCGTGGTTTAAAGGTAAATAGCCTCATGTATATACATCTATACTCTCGTCGAATGGAGTTCCCAATTTTTTTAGGCAGCGATAGAAAAGGGTTAAAATATTGGCGCGTTTCTAAATTTATGATTGAGCCAAAAATACATTGTGAAGTTGAGCTAATTAGGGAAATTAGAGATCGAACATTATTACAAAGAGTAGTAACTTTCGCTTTGAGAGAAATGCCGGGGCAGGTGTACAGATGGGGGGTTTTCTATCGTCATATAGTCAAGAACACATCAAACCGCAATACACGTCTTCAAGATCTTTTCATATCGAGTAAAAAAAAGAGCTAGTACGCACATTCTATGTTACATCGGTATCGTCTGACAGTAAGGCTTACGCAGATTCCCAAGGCAGAACGAATCCTATTCGGGCGGCGTCATGTAACATCATGGCGAGGTATATAAAATAGCCGTTGATAAACTCGGCTGTTTTAGATAATTACCTTTAAATAGTTGCTATAGAATCGGGTGAATAGAACGGTGAACTTTCCCAATAGGGTCAGAAGGGTCTACCCTCAGTGCCGTTAAAGCCATTCCATGACTAACAGAAGATTTTGCTTTTCAAGCCTTCTATGAAGGCCATCGGAACGTATAGCGCACGGCTCGTTTATAGGCAGTGGTATTTTGCATATATTCATCGAAAAGTTAAAAAAAACACCTTGATTTTTTGCAATGCACCTCTAAACTGACGTTCTTATTAGCCTAGATAGAAAACTCCTGAAAATCAACTCGGGGCTTCCAAGTTCAGGCGCAATGACCGATGATTCTAAAGCACTTGTCGTAACAGTATTTTCCGTTCGCGTCTATACAAACTGTGCACAACCGCCAGGTACGATAAACCCGCCTTGTCCTGCGCGCACGCCGCAGAATCTTTTGTAAGATATATCATCCGGCTGAATATGCTTATATAATTTGACTGGGCAAAAACAAATCGATATAATACACGCCTAGTGCTTCTAAAAATAATAATTTTTACTCGATATTATGTTTTTTTATATGACATTAGTTAAATAAAATTGATTGGTTAGGATGAATATTTTCCGTCTAAGGTACCTGAGCATGCACTTGTATCCACAGCTACTAGCATTACCATCGAAGAAACATAACCAAAGTCGACCGTTTTAGGCGGCTGTGGACGCGCAAAGCCTTGTCTATTCGATCAAACTAAAGTGAGTTGGAGTGTAGATAGATGGAATGCCTAACGTGAACATAGAAAATCAGCTGGAGAAAAATAGATGGCTTTAGAGGCTAGGCAGCCTGTGAAGACACTGGTCTGATAAAAATAGACAAAGAAACCCGTTTCAGCTGGTGAAAAATGGACCCACGGTGGAACCTGTGAGGCCACAGTTAATGACGAGACGACCCTGAGGATGGGCCTCCTTATAGGCCGCCACTGCAAGCCTAAACAAGGGCGCGAAAGAGCCAAGATAATTTGTGTTAAACAACCGTCAAGTTCAGAAGACCGCAAAAGGAATAGGCAACTAGAAGAGTTATGTCCGTCCCTTAAAGGTCATTTGGAAACAAGGAGACTCACAGCGACGATTTTGTCGAAGGATTTGAATTTCCAATAACTACACACCGATCAATAATCGGCTTGAGACAATTTTAACGTACTTAAAAACGAGGTGTATTTCTAACGCGTCATAAAAACTGGTGGAATTTAGATGTCGGACACGCCATGGAGACAAGATCGAATCTTGCTTGGCAGCCGAGCCGGGGCCAAAAAATTTAGGCTAACACCAAGCATTTATTTTTCCATATTTCCATTCTTATTATTCTTTTGCAAGTAATGCGTAATATGAATTTGTGCTGGGTGATTCTACTGTCGCTGACAAGGATAATCAAGAAGTTTAAGGATGTGTAGCACTGTCCTCCAAAGTAGCCCTCAACTTGGAGATAAGACGTCGTGGTTTCTTCATTACGATAGTGCGCCGCTTGCACATAGTTCCATACGTTTATTGTATTTTCTGGCAAAAAACTCGATAGGTGTGCTACCTCCTCAATTTCTGTATTCATCCAGATAGAAATGCCTGGCACTGGGAGAAAAGTTAATAACAATAAAGAAAAAAGTTTCCTTGTATGTCCTAACTCAAAAACCATTTCAAGAATAGAGACGCGCTTTGTGAGGGTGCAGTGTTCGTGGATAAAAAATCTATATAATTAAAATTCTATTGCTCGCTACACTGTGGCATAACAGAAAGGTCTTTATGGGTTCTGCCCCTAATTGGGATACTTGATTGGAAGTGTCCTGTCGCCTTTTTCAAGGATGTGAAATCATATATTGATCATCGTATAATAACTACTTTTTTTACACAATTCTACAGCTACTTTATTATAAATTTACTAACACTTTGCTAGTGGTGCTAAGTGTATTAACAAATAGGTTACAGTTTTCGTTTAATTAGCATCGTTCAAAATTGAAGATAAGATTTCCAAGTTCGAATTTTTTTGGTACCCCTTTTGCAATATTGAATGTTTTCATGCATCGTCTTGCAGACGGCTTCTAGTAACAACAAGACTAAGGATAGACATTTGACCATTGGAGCATTGATCAGTTTGCTTAAACATACCGCCATTTCTTCTATGATTCTTTCGACAACGTTTAAAAATAAAATGCTAGAAGATACTTCAAAAATATCCTTGGACTGGCAGGACATGGTAATGACATCACTTAACTAACGGCCAGAAAAAAAAATGCGCTTGCGATGCTACTTGAGCGACAATAAGGACGAAAGTACACCGCCATAACCTAAATGAAACAAAGGCACGATATCACTCAAACATTAGAGGAACAAACCATCTGCCATATCAAAAAAGGGCAAACTAAGAAAAATGGTTAACAATTGGTGAGGGATATTTTGCTACTTGACTTTTTCTATAAATCCAAAAGGTTCAAATGTACTACGTTCAGGGATGTGCAACTTTCCAATGGCCAAAATGTAAGTGTTTACTTGGTGAAAAAGCCTTACCGAATTCTAATGGTAATCTATCTGCGAAAGGAAAGCACGCGTTATTGTTTCAATTTCTGCATGAAAATGACATTTCGATACATACAGGCTATGGTAGTGGCTACCCAGAAAGTAGTTTACTCATCAATTAGCCAGACCTTTGAGAGCTACCTTTTCAGAGAAAGAAGACATTTGATAGAAGATCAGTAAAAAAAACTTGTCTGCTCTTTTGTCGAATGCTCCATAATATTGCAATAATATTTCTTTGATATATTATTTCTATTGCCATTGAAAATCTAATAAAAAACCATAGAGAATCTCATAGAATACCCATTATATCCTCGTTCTGCCAGAATGACCACGTCGTCGGTATCAGGCGTAATTATGCTACATCGTGGTTCAATCTCGTTCTGTTGTGCACTATTTATCATCATAACCTAGACGTTGAAATCTTCTGTTAAACTAAAAGTGTACACATTGCCTCTCCTACACCTTTTCTTCGTTTTAGTTGGACACTTACAGTTAAATTTCTTCCGCTAACTACGAGCTTACTTCTTCTGACTCGTCACTTTCTATTGGTTCTTTCTGTACTACGTTATGTATTGCCACGCCATTGCTTTCATTCGTATGCGTGTTTTTCTGTTAGTTCGTCTACATGTGTACGTTGTCTCTTTGTATGTTTTTTTTCAATGTCATTGCCCAAGGCTTCCTTCTAAAGCATCTAATAACTACTGTCTACCTCGCTATTTTTGTTAGGTATGTATGTCTTCATTTTTATTTTGTCGTATATGGGCCTTTCATAAACGCTGTCTATATTCTAGCTCGTCAAATGAATTCTTGCTGTTGGCTTGTTCTTCCTAATCATGTTATGCCGCTGTACCTAAATCTCTAGTGAAAACCATGTCTTACATTGTAGCCTTTAAACAAAGATGATTCCCCGCTATTACAATCGCTACGGCTATCTCTATTTTAGATAAACTTATCGTCCACCATTTGTATGCAACTCATGAGTATATTTCGGTCAATGATGATATGGTCAATAACAATACGCAGTAATCGCAGAATAAGACAAATTTTGCGTTCATAGCGCAGGATCATCAATGTAAGATATGTAATTACTCCGAAAATCGTTATGACGGTTATCAACTTAGTACCATTAGTGTTAAGCCATAACATAGATACTCTACTCGGCCCCGTACAAGGCCATTTAAGCGAGTGAAACACTGGGACAAGACTTCTAATGTAGAGGTAAGGCTACATTTCTATTTTTAGACGACGGACTTTGGGATACTATCAATCCTTTGATTCGGCTACCTGAAAATATCATACCAAATTCTTGAATGTAGCGATTATCAACTAGAATGTAAGGCCAAGAGGAGAGTTATATGCTTTTAATGTATCTGGCATACACTAGCGGTCAGGTTTATAGCGTAAGCCATAAGGCTGACTAACTAGGGCACTAGTCAACTCTGCTATGCGTGCCTGATATTGGTTGATTAGCTTTGGATCTCGGAGTGTGTTCGTTGCTTGACAGGCGGAGGGCCCAAGCTGTCCAGTTTAGATTTTTACGAGTAAAAATGCATAAAAAGCCTCATTCACGAGAGCCGTTCATTACTATTTACCTTCGGTCAGCTACCTGAAAATCGACATTAAAAGAATGATGTACCTTTTTAGGTGTGTCTCTTCTTTTTCAATTGAAAATTAAATCTCGCACGATCACATATGCGTCAGCTGGTGTATGTCGTTCAATGTTCACCCAAACACTCGCGTTTAACAATAAAGAAGCTTCTGTGCTTTTGCCCAATAAGCAAATTCATTAACTTGTTATTAATACTGTATTTTGAAAAAGCTCACTTATCTAAGCTAAACGGTTTTATAAATCATAGGACAAAAATGAGATGGTAGCCGAGCATACTGGTTTCACATCGACCCCGGGCCAAACAGGATTCAAACTAACACACGCAGTATGTTTTTGGATCGAGAATGCGCACTTGAAGTGTCAAAGACTATGGCTTTGACGTATTGCACTTTGCCGTCGGTCGGGCAAATAAATTAGACGCGAAGTTTCCCGCCCATATTTGATGTATAGTATATTATATTCTATGTATAGTAAATTGTCTTTTATGGTAACGAGTAGGGGAAGCAGAAAGACATTGATGCGCACATAAAATGACTACATCGAAAAATTAAGGGCGCAACCAAAGCAACCAGATCCTGTTTACGTACTTCAACAAGCTTGTTTGGAAAATATCACTTCGACTAAATCTAGATGAAAGCCGACGTCTATGATCTTTGACCGAACGCTGTCTACAAAACGATAAGCGACATGGAATTGAAGAAGGGCATGTCTCCTAAACTCCATTAGACAAGGCTTAGGCTTGCGGTCTCAGGACCGTCGTGTTGCTCATTTTCAGCTTTAGGTCTCTGCAAGACGACCGAGTTTTCGACGCCCCCAGAAAAACATGGGTCGTGGCAGTTTGCAAGTCAGATCATTACAGGAATACTAAGAGGTCTGCGTTACACATGCATTGATTAGTTGTAAAATATTAAAAAATATAATGCGATTATCTCCAATACAGACATTCAGTTTTTTATTTGTTCGCTCAAATAAACACATAGAAAAAGTTGAAGTCAAAATCGATTGCCTAACGTATTTTATCAATAAAACTGCACCACAGACTGCGTTGAACAAAGAACGTGAAGCTGATTTAGTTTCGAATAACTTCCAGCGCTTTCCGGCACAACGGCATACAGACTGCTGCTTTCGAAAGGCCTTGGGCCCGAGCCGACTACGGCAGAGAAGGTTTAGGGCGAAGCTTTACGACTCTATCCTATGAACGTTCTGTGGATGGACCATGCTACGACGATGTGTCCTCGCAGAACCATGAGAGTCTACGTTTCATGCTATCTTCAGCTGAAATATTTCCTTCTGCTAATTCCCAGTATACTGCATAATGTACGCCTGCGGCATAAAATAACTTGCCCAATTTGAAATAACGGAAACCAACAACATATGCAGGAAGCAGAACTTCTGCGATAAAACAAACGAGATGATGCTCAGACCTGTAGTTTACAAGTGATGCTTTCTTTATCTTAATGTAAAGTGTACAGCTACGCGCTGGACGCCATTATATTCATTGTACCTGAGATGAAAAAAAGGCAGACCAGATTGTTGCCGTACGTGGGCCGGGTAGTTTCCAAATGTTTCATGGTTTGTCACTGGGCACAACAGTTCGGTAAGATGTTTAGTCGTTTATATAAAGCCGCACCAGCTTCATGCTATTAGAGTCTTAACTTGTACATGCCAGCAGTACTAGCAGGGTTAAATTTAATTAGGAAAAAGCAAATAAAATTTTTCTATTATGCCAACATAGAACCCGACCGCTTCTACCTTCCGTAGGGGGTTCTGCTCTTATATGCTGACTTTACATTGCTTAGGCGAATTATAAGAGATGATGACCCGTTTAATGAGATTAATCGTTTCTTTGAAACACACGGATGAATTGTTAGAGCTAACTGAATCGTTTGTAGGGATAATAACAACTGAATACGTGTGCCGAATCGCCTGTCAAGCGCATAATATCAGAATACGATAAAATTAAAGATTTTACGTTTACGTAGTATAATTAGATATAGAGAAGGTGTCACTGCTATCAGCGAAAACGTTTGTGATGCGTTACTAAGTAACATTGAACTACGCAATCTAATAGTATCCTATTATCTAATAGTAGTATTGGAGAATCATTTAAAAAATCGTGCAAAGAAAAAGCAATGCGTTATCCTGCGAAAACATGGTACAATCAATTACTCTGTAGTGAACTGCAGGCAACGTTTCCTGCAAATACTATTTGACTAGAAAAAAAAGTGCCACCGAACAATGATCTCACATCTATACCGTTTACTAGTTTTTAGTTCAAAATGCGTGTTGCTCTATACTCATCATTCACAAACTAGTCAGACTTTTGACACAGTGAGACGCGTTAACAATTAACTACTGTTTTACTGAATATGTACCATTGTCTTTGAAATACGATGTTTTCAGGATTGTCACCACGTGGAGGCACTGCAGGACCAAGCTCAATTAATGCTACAACAGCATGTCAGGGCGCAGCACTCCGCACACCCAGTTCGCTTTGGTCGCTTACTTTTAATGTTGCCATCGCTGAGGGTGGTGGCTTCTGATAAGATCGAGTCACTATTTTTCCACAAGATTATTGGATCCACACCCATGGAAAAGCTCCTGTGTGATATGTTCAAATGCTAGAAGATATCCGAGTAGCACATGACCAATTAGGAGTTTAATTGTCGTCAGATGATTCAGACCGTTCATGAAAAGAGACACCAATCAGATGTATAACGAATATCAAAGGTTTGGACGTTTGGTAGATGTGAGTCGCACTCACATCTCTCGTAGTAGATACTCAAGTGACTCAGAGTAGATTATTTCATCGATGTGTTCGATACCAAAGCACGCTCAAGCGTATAGATCCAAGTTTCAGCTATATTTAATTATAAGCTCGTAGTTGACGAACGAACATAGCATACCTGACTCTTCGAAATTTCACTTGACGTCTAACCAACTACACCCAAGGGCCTAAACAAAACAGTATACTGTGAAGATAATTATGTACGTATACATCACCGGTGCAGATAACGATCAGTAGCAACCAACAATTTAGCACAATGTAGGGAACATACAGCTCGGTCAAAAGTAGGCATACGGTTGGGCAAGACGCAAGTCCAAAGTAAAAAAGAAAAAGGAAAGGCTTCTAAAGAGTTAAAATACAGCGAGCTTATATCTAGAGCAGACGGTTCTTCTCTGTAAGCCAAGTGCTTTCCCAGCCGCAAACCTGTGACTAACTGTTAACGTCTCACCCAAACGTAAGCCTACCTTTGCCCCTCCGGTTGATCACTGCAAGCGTCACGGTTCCACAAACTGTACAACGTTTTTTTTGATTTCCATCGTTATGCCCCCTTTTCAAATATCTGTCTCAACAGCTAATAAAAAGCAACTGACAGCGAACTTACGGCAATTTTTTTATTAACTTTTCATCCCACGTACGAATAACAGTCGTCGACGACAATTTGGGGGGTATTTAGTGTATGAAATGTGTGCCAGTAACTTTATTCGATATTGATGAAAGTTTCCGCTATAACTTACGTAAGAATTTAAGAAGTGTATGCTTTTCTTTATTGCTAAGTATTGTTACAGATAGAGCCCAGGGCTGTGGTATCACACTAGAAGGATTCGCTTCCTTCAGAGAAGGGACAAATAATTTACGTCGTAATTATGCATAGTGCAATTATACTCTTCTAGCCACCATATCTAGATGCAGTGCATCTTGACGTCGTGTCACTTACGTGGTACCGAAGGACAATGAGCTAAGAAAAGGGCAATTCGGTAACCCGGTGGGTTGGATCGTGTTTCAGCGGGTGGGCATTTTCAGTAAATACACATGATGACATTCTTATGGAGCAGGCCATGTTTACGATCAAGCGGGCGGAAAAGTTTAGTTGATATATCAACATTTTGCAGGCAGCAGCAGCAGCAGCGGCAGCAGCAGCAGTGGCGACGGTAACAACATATACTCGCAATACAATGCACGAACACAATAATCATGAAGACTATGATGATAATAATGGATATTATTGTATTACAATGATGACCCAGCTAATATACGTATATGGCAAGTGTATAATGACGACGACGACGACGACGATGATGATGATGATGATTATACCTATATGAATCATGATAATTATGGGAATTATCTATCCTCAGTGATCCAACACCCTTACTGAAAGCTCATTGCCACCAGATAAATAAAGAAGTACACGTACTGACTTTACGAGTTATTTCAGAATATGCGTTTCTTTTAAACGTAAAACATGTAATTAAAGAAGTTGCAAAATCAAAATGCACTTACCCATATGTAAATATGCTCACGTAAAATGCGTATATGGGCTAACAATATATATTAGGGTACTAGAGAAGACCTAAGGCGTGAATAAGTATTTTATTCTAGTTTTTAAATTTTTTAATTCAAAAAAACTTGGTCTGTTTGTAAATGAGCTCTACTTGCGGTTGAATTATTATTTCTTTACCCAAATAGATGTGCTATGACGCATCGCTTCTCGTAACCAGAACGTTTGCTTTGTTACTGTGAAATATGTATGAGCGCATAGCGGGTTCCAACTTGATAGACTCTATGTCCATGCACTGCCAAATTTCAGTCACAATACAACCCTAGCCCCGAGAAATACTACACACTTTGCTTTTTGATAAAAATGATATAGGAACTGATAAAAAGAGAGCATCGTAATACACTAGACAAAACATCGACTCTAATACTTATATATCAACTGTAATCTACGCTCAGAATTGTGATGCGTATAGCGTGAGGCGTAACGAGGGTCACAATAAATAATTGCTCCAAAGGGTAAGGAAACCTACGAAATTTTCGACGCCCAGTCGAACGCACTATATCCACGCATATACTTGTTGTCGTCTTTACTGTTCACAAGTAGTGCAGAAATCCTTCAGAGACAGATGTCCTAGGCCGTACAAAAATGCACTTTGGACACCTTCTTTACAACGCTGCCTCCTGGGATTCAAACGTTGTTATAACGAACCGAAACGTCTATGCTGTGTGTACAGAAAACGCTGTCAAAGTTGTAAGCAAACAATTCGAGAGTGGCCCTAAAGATTCAAAAATAATGCTACATATCTAATCAGTGCACGCCATCCTGGCAAGCCACGACGAAGACGAATAGCTATCGCAAGGACAGCTAGTAAAATGTACCTATATTCATCAGATAGATCACAAAAAATACTGCACAGTAATGTTTTGTATAAAAAAAACATTGTTCTCGTAAACAATTCCAGAAGGATCAGGAACCATAGGCTCCATTAATTAGCACGGTAATTAACGAGCTTCGTTCCTTAGCAGGATCGCATGCTTCGATTACGGATCGTGGTGTTATCACTCTCTGCTCTCTGCATCGCACATATAGAAATTATTTAGTTGCTTTATTCTAATTTTTAGTGACATCCATGTATGGAGGAACGTATTTCTAGACCTGTATAACTCTGCGTCTATTTCGACGAAGTCCTTTTCCCAAGTCGTATTCATTCGAGTGAGAAGTGAATATACGCTACATCGAAATGCTTCACCATCATCACTTTTGTCAGACTCAGTTAACCCGAGCTCTATTGAGATCACATGCGATCTAGTTAACGCATGCTAATTTTAGACACACTTACCTCTATCAACGTTCAAAATGACCTTTACAAAATTTCTGGACTCTCAGATTTCGCTGTTTTCAGACGCTTCAGAAGTGTCAAGTACAATACGAGCAGAAATGATCTCCCTGCCCGAGGCTTGTGGTCTAAGAAGAGGGAAGTTCTTGCCATGCTATCGATCCCTATCTCATTTTCCTCGGAGTTGCTATTATAAGCTTCAGAATTTTTATGTAGACACCTTCCTTTGCCAGAAACTGCTTAAAAGAGAAAGGTGCGGAATCGAGATGAGGGGCGGCGCGTTATGGAAAGTGGCGGGGCTCACATAGAGAACTAATCATGATTTTTTCAGCCAAAACATACTTTGCTTATTTTTAACAAAAGCGTAAGAACATTTTTTTGATTCAGTAGTTCGATAAGCGCGTCTCACGGTGCCGTATAATCACTGATAAATTTAAACAGAGGGCGGCCTTAAGAGAAGCTGATGCTTATATGTGTACATTAGATCACGGAGTGGTACGCTTCCTCTAGTTCACACTATATCTATACAAAGGCATTACGGATTTTCGTGCACAGCGCTTTTATTGGTTGCCAACGTTTATCCAGTTTTTGATATATGTTGGTATTTTTTTTGTTCACACGCATCACGCGATGGCTAAGATGTTGCTATTCAGCAACTACAGTAACTACCTGAGGATTGTTGGCGACTATCCGCAATCTTTTGTCTCGTACTATAAGAACACGAGTCGAGCAAAACTAAGGCCGATGTTTAGAGGTTTCCGCCGTCCTTTCGAGTGATCGACTATATCGTCTGAAGTACTGATCTGACATCGTATCGCCATTACCTTCGTGGTACAGCCGTCATATAAACTCCTTAGAGCCTAAATGATTTCACTGCCGAGCTATTTTGCACTGTAACCCATGAGGGGTATTACACTATCGAAGGAGAAAACGATAGTATAGAACAAAATTTCTTCTATATTTGCCAAAGTGCTTTTATATTTGTAGCATATTTATGTGAGGTTAATATTACTTGTTAATTACTGTGTGTGTTTGTTGAACTTACTCTGACCCTGTTTGGACAAGTGTTTTGCGCTTGTTGAAAATGTTCAGGATTAATGCGCAATGATTAGCTGATTAAAAAAATGTACTAACTTCCTTCAACTATGGTTATATTTACTTTCATGCACAACACTTTGCCGCAGACGGCCGTTATAAATGGCTCCATGATGAAGTTACTCTATGTAAAATTAACGCGACAAATTTTTGGCACTGTATTAAAGTGCACAAAAAATCTTTCTAGTAGTCCAAGTTTGTTTTTTTTTACAAACAAATTTAAATTTGTATGCTGTATTATGTTGGCTTACAATGGCGCCTATCTGCTACAAGTTGAGAAACACATTTTCGCAAGAAACAGTTGACGTTAAGGACAGCAATGTCAGTTTAAAACATTAGTAAATGATTGACAATTAGGAACAACGGTTGCCATAACGTTATCCTGTAGTAAGTATTCTCATGGTGAAGCGTATCGTTGTGATGCTGCTAGCTTTTCCATTCGATCGCGACCTTTTTTTACTTAATGTAAAATGATTTTATGTGACGGTTATTTAACTTACACTAGGGAAATGACGAAATAACAATGGTGCTTAGATAGTTGTACAATTCTTGGTAAATATTTGGAGCAGGCATTGTTCCAAGGTTTTTGGAGCCGCCGTTGGCCACTGTCCGATAGCAGGCAACACATTTTGGCTCCTTTTATTTTGCCGGTTTTTTACACAAAACAGAATTCGTTTTTATAATCAGTGAAAATGCAAATTGCTTAGAAACTGGGTTTACTACGGACTGAGTACCAACTGTCAGATAATACGATACCCTTGTACCTGAAAGTGATTTCGTAGGCTCGTCTGTTTCTTTGTGGAACGCTGAAACTGCTACTTTACAACTTAAATAGAAACTATGGCCTTGAGGAACAATGGAGTCGTTATTGAAATCTGACTCAATCCAACTCGTTCCGTACGCGTGTTTGAATTTGAGAAGAAAAAAAAAAATAATAATAATAAGTGCTTGGAATAATGTGAACGCGTAGAACGTGGCTCACTTAACGCTAAGCAAAAGACTTTCGCAGCTTCTACATTAGGAATCGCTCAGTATACGATCCGTATACGTGCGACGCTGGTGCATTAGCGAAACGATTGTTTCTGTATTAAATCGATGAACAATGTGGCCATATTCAGTTAATCTGCTTAACTGTCTGAACAGAACAAGCCAAGTTTCAGATAAGTACCACTTTGTTCTTACATGTACGTAAATATAAATGTATTCGTATTCTCAAGCAAGCACACGTCCTTATCGAAACGTCATAAGAATGTCGATGTTGCAAGGAATCTGCCCTGACGTAGAACATAGACCTACACTGATCACCTGTAGAGGAAAGTATCGCGTGGCTAGATTTATTGTTTTTTTTTTTTTATTTCATGGTTAATGTAAGCTATATTGTTGACGTAAACCGCCCAAGACGGAAAATAAAATTTAAAGATGGAACATTGTTCGGGTCGGGCGGGCACCGTTCACACCCTGAACGCCTAGCAACAGCTGTCGTTACTATTTTAAAGCCCCAGATGGCAAAAACACTGGGTGCAATATTGACATTGTTTGCCACCTGGTGTCGAATCTTCTAGCAGAAATTGAGAGACCAATTGCGTACTATAAAACACCAGAGATGCAGTCTCAGATCGTACATTACATTTAGAAATCAAATAATTTCTGTGTGTGTTATGTTAGAAATACATTTTTATCGGTGTTTCAGTGGAACAATTTTTTAAGGATCTCTCCAATTTTAACACAAGAGTTAAAAGCCGATAGCAATAAAATTGCGCGCCTATTGCATAGAGCTTTGAACCATTAAACGATTTCTAGATTTTTAATAGTTTTCGGGAAAACTACCTGCCAAGGGGCTGACTCTTTGCCGCCTTATGTCCGAATCTAGATATTCGCCAATTCGCTATGATATTAGATGGCCCTCGTTGGTGGCAGTATCTGAGCAAGGTACACTTGTGTGGCCTGTAATACGCGACGTCCGGGGCTACAGCCGTTTATAGAAACAAAGCAACAACACATGGTAACGAGTACCACTACTACGATCGTCGTCATCAGTCACTTGACAATCGGTGGTGCTTGCAAAAAACAATAGTTTTGGAGGATTTGATAAGATTAATCGGTTCTGCATCAATACAGCTTTTACACATCACAAACTAATTTCTTATTTGTATGCCGGGAACTGTAATTGGTCGTTGCTTTTTGTTTGCCACCCTCAGGGGCTCGGCTATATACATTTTCGTTATCGAAAAAATCCATGTTCTTTATGGGGCTTCGTTGCACCCAGATGCACAAGAATGATGAGGCATACTTGATTTAACTGGAACTGGATTAATCATCTCGCGTCGCCCAGAAATTTATTGGTATGGCTATCGAGGCTGCAGTGCGCGGTGAGCATCGTCTGAGGCAAATGTTTCACACATCTTTACTTCAAATGTTGCTACCCTAAGGCCACAGCTCGAGTAGGCTCTGATTTTGGACAACCGTCTCAGGACGGCGGCTTGTTGAAGCGCAGTCGGTTCGATTCAGTAAAAGTGCCTATTATATACAATTTGAAACGGTTGTCCTCTATTTGAAAATTATTTAGCTGATGGCTTGAAATAATTTTATCGGGTGTGATCTGCCGGCAGGTAATTGTCATTTGATTAAATATTTTTGCGTGAAATCGGATTGGGCAAGAGGAGAGTCTGGTAGAACCTACATTTGGATGGAAACGTTTGTTTCGATCTAAACGACAATCTACTGATATTGTAATAGAAAATATTGTTTATTGCGGAGAATATCCGAGGGGTTATTGTAAAGTTGTGCGTGTTCTTGAGTATCAAAAGAAGATATGTTGTCGGACCAACATATATTTAGATTAAAAACTAAGGTTTTGGCTAAAAACGATTTATGTCACGATCCAAGATATTGTACGACAAGTTAGGGGGGCGAGTACGTTTCTTTCACAATACTATAGACAGTCCTATTTTTTTTTATACAAGCAACCGATAGGTAAGGATATGATCGTTAAGTAGTCAAATGTAAGCGGGCATAGGTACAGGGGCGACACCCTCGATCCATATGCAAAAGTTTCATCTTAATGATTGTCTCACACCTCAGGGAGTGCAAAATTGTTCACTCGGAGAATTTTACAATGTCCCAGCAAGTGTCGACTTCCAAATAACGATGTGACCGAAACTTGGGCTACATCGAACGTTTTTTTAGCCGACGATAAATAACTGAAATTTTTCTTTTTGGCAGTAGTGAATAATGTATTATGCCTTATGGGTTTATGCAGCACATTACATTTAACAGTATTGTAGTTGAAAAACTTGTTAATTTTAACTGATGATAAGATTAATGGAGGTCTAGAAATCAGAAGGCTGTACGCTATACTAATAGACCGCTTTGCATGCGCTATCCGTTAACTTTATTACGTATTCAGGTTCGCAGCATGACCGTTTGCTGACTGCTGCGGCCTAACGACAGTGGGTTAACTTCGGGAAGGTTCCAAAGTTAAGCTTGTTTACAAGATTAATTAAGACCTAATATTTATCTTGTTAGAAAAACGGTGTGCGCATTTGACTCTGTTATAAAGGGTGCCAAGAAGTTCAGACAGATAAATGAGCAATTATACAGTATTGCATTTGTGATTTATGAAAGTTCATGGGATTACACCTATTCAAATAAGTTCTTTTGTATGGGATAGTGACGAAGCGGTTCACACTATTACCGCACACATAAGCGGTTATTATACTATCATAGATGTACAAACGACGCCCACTTTCGTTCCTAGCGGTCCGTTCCAAAACAGTTGCCACCCTAATCTCCGCGACAATGTTGTGTCAGGGGGAAAGTATAGATAAAATTGTTTAAAATGAAAACGTTAATTAAGCTCATTAAGTTGGCCAGGAAGTAAATTAAGCAACCTTTAGACGTGTACACTTCACTTACGCGCATTATTGTACTTGGAACGCCCCGTTTCTGAACCATCTATCCAGCGTTTGCTGTACTGTTTGCACCTGGTCCGGTTTCTTTAATAGTAGTTTTCTGTACGATTAAATCATAAACCAACAGCTAATAATTTTCAGCACTTCTTCGTTAAAAAAAAAAATAGACAATGAGAATTGTCTGTTGGATTGGAAACACGATTGGTATTTAAGAGGGTTTTCCAAACCGTTGTTGAACGCCATACAGGTAGGAATTTATAGACTTAAAGCACAGATAGCCGCCATGAAGGCAGATCGCGTAAGATAACAATAATGTACTATTTACGATTGCCTGCTTACAGGCAAGTCTCATGTAGATCCAGTGGCAGTGTTATACCAATAGCTTGGGCATGCAATTTTTCACGCGGTAGAAAAATAAGAAAACGAATATTCAACAACGACAATAATACACAGCATTATAAAGTATAGTAAGATTCCAGATCAAATCTTACATCGACAACTCAAAGATTCTGATGGGATTTTAGGGGGATGCTCTGCTATGTGTTTCTGAACAGCAGTGAAATGATGATGAAACCAGACTGCGATTTGACTCGAAATGTCAAACTGAATAGAAAAGGCGACAATATGAAAGCCCTAGAAAAGCAGAAAAACCACAGAAGACGATCATGTCGTACCACGATATTTGACCTCATGTGGCCTTGTCAACTGAACAAATTCTGACAGGCCTTAGACAAGAAATCCTTTGAGCCCAGATTATAGCCGAGGCCACGCTCTACATAGCTGTATGACCGCTGGGATCCATATTGCATAGCCTTCAGAATCAGCTATTCAAACTGGAAGCAGCAATCTGAAAATCGGTCGATGAATGAAACTTCTGTCATTCATAAGCCGAGTGGAAGTGATTACGATAAGCAAAAGATGCCGGCTTCACGGACGCCTCTTTCGGCCATTGTTGCCAACCCGTCTATTTTCCGCATTATCAAAAAAGGTCATAGGAAACTAAAAAAATGACTTTTGTAGGGAAGCATTTGATCTGAGGCATCAAGTGGAATTACATCCTGAGCGAGGTCCTAACTATCCGAACGAAAAGTATTCGCTTGCAGTAAACATAATGTCGTTTTCGTTATGCGTTCAAGGTATTTAAACACGCCTTCAGACAACTTGAAAAGTAGCAAAAGAAAATTAAGATTAGCTCAATTTAGAAAGCTTAATCATCCAAATCCGGCCTATACACTAACGTTAGTGTACTTCGACTATATGCAATAAACTTCGTCTGAACGTTTAAACTTTGCACTGCATGCTGTGTCTCAAGTTGAGCACTACTCAGCTGAGGTCTATGCCCTTTTAACATTTCGAAGCGAGTCTGAAATTATTAGAAATACGAAAACCTATTTGTCAATACCAAATATTACGCAAGTGTCTTTGACTTATCAATACTATCAGAAGTTTCACAGACAGAACGAAGTAAATTTTAGTTAGAAGTTCACTTCGAACTATCATACTATTACTAATCGGTGTCCGAGCAGTTAATTAGGCAAGACCTTGTCGTGTTTATACTGATGAAGCAGCAGGTCGTCATGTTAGTGAGTGAAGCCCATGGAAACGACCGTTTTTTGCATGGCGCAAAAAACAGCGACGAGAATAGGCCTCATACTTACTTAATTAGAATTTCGAAATATTATTACCATTGTTATTGCTATCGAAGCCATTCTCGCCATCACGATTGTTCTTCATATCGTTCTTCTTCGAAGAACGAAATCTTCTTGTGCGAAGATAACCACAATAATAAGTGACGAAATTCACTGACGAGCAGAACCTTTTTGCTCTCCCTTCTGATCCTAAGCACAGCATCGGTAGTCAGGCTAACGAGAAAGAATACTTAACTAACGGGATACCGTCAGTTAGCGTTCAGCTGTTTCTGCAATATCGATTTTTTTTCTCTGGTATCCGCAGACATTACCAGATACCCCAAGCCAAAAGAGCCCCGCAGCGGAAACACTGTGGCGATGCCGCAGTGTCGCTTGTTTTTCGTACTCTCTGCTTCTTCGTAGTTTTTGACATTGTCGTCTTCTCCGTCACAGATATTTCCAAACCCCATTTCCGTCTTTTTTTTTTTTCCCTCTTTCTATATACTTCCTCAAATAAAACTACCGTTGATGCAGCAACAGCGTGACGGTGAAAATGCTACCATTGCAATCTGTGACGGCGTAGTCTTTGTTGTTGTCGCTGGCTAGCTGTCATTGGCGTCATTACTTTTGTTATTCTACAGGTACTTAACAGGATATGATACAGCCATGCAGCGTCAACTAACGCTCTTAAATAGGTTTACTAGCGGCCAGGAGTAGTGGCCTATCTCGCAGCTAGAAAAATATTTTCTAGTAACAATACCAACGACACAGTAGAGCTATGGGACTGTCTGCGTAATTCACTAAACAGCTGATGCCATCACCGACGGCTCGAGTCTTTTCCTAGGTAATACACACTAGTGCTATCAACGGCCTCACTGCAAGAACAACTAACATCAGACTCAACTACTACCAGTATCGCCGAGCCCAACGAATGATGACGCAATAGTATCTCTATTGGCATAATTGTAGATGTAAACTTAGAACCACGGCAGTGGCAATGTGAATCCAGAATGCTCGCTTATTCTGGCCAATGCCGGATTGGGTGGAGCAGTGCACAAGTAATCTTCAATTCAAATCATAATAAAACCACCGTGTTTCACCTGTTACCATTCGCCGGATTACAAATAACTGATTTAAGGATTGATTGTTTAGAGGTGCACAATCTAACAACCGTAAGTGAGCTTAGAAGACTTATCAAGAAATTAACGCTTCGTTGCGTTGAATGTCTACGCAGTAAATGTACCAGCTTTCGTGAATCGGCCATCATTCATGCATTCATTTATAGATTGTAGCAGACATTGTTGCTTAGATGTAACCCTTCCCTTATTTTGACCTTTTACTCGATGTTGTTTATTCATTTCAAGAGAGAAGACCGTGCAGCACTCGACAAGAATACTGTTTGGGTCATGGACTTTTAAAATAATCATTTTCACTGGTTTGCTTTTGGGTTTTAGAGAAATTGTAGTGATCCTTGTTTATAGAAACGTTTGTATCGCTTGTGATGCTATTTTCGCAGAGATCTAATATACAGGTGTGTACCTTTGAATGTAGTCACCCGCTTTTCTCGTTTTAAATATGCATTGTGTTCGGGTGTGCGTTTCGTCCACGCGAAAAAAATCGTTACGCTGATTTTCTTGTTGATGTGCTAATGTCCACTTAACTATAAACTTTTACCAAGTTTTTTTGACAAAACGATATTTAAACTATTCAGAAATGCAAGATATTTCATAAGAGAATCCTTTTTGATTGGTCATAATACCACCAGTCTATCAGGATTTTCTTTTGGGTCCCTACAATAGGGGAGATGATAGATTTGAAACACTATGATCTGAAAGGAGTGGGTTGATTGAAGTGCTTATGACACGCTCTTCCGCTTTAGGTACCTTGAACATCAGACGCACGTATTTTGAAAACGACTGTAGTGAGACACACACACACACACACACACACACACACAGACACACTTGAATATTATCGTAATTTGTCACAACATTGCTGAATCTTTATAAAAATTATTGTAACTCTTCACCCTGTGCAACAAAAGGGCGACAAAAGACCGCAAACGGTGAAATTAGATACGAGAGCAGCCGGCGGGGGCATGAAGGTTCTTGCCCTTCTTAAGTGGTGTTTGGCATAATGGTGATGATATTACTTCAAAATGGAACTCACTCATAGCAATAAACTTTGATAGTAGGGTAGTAGTAGTAGTAATCTATTTCACGGTAGTTGGTGAATTTTTTTTTGTAAACGGGCACCCTGATGTTTTTTTCGTGGGACGTGATTTATCCAGCCTTTCCATTCCGGAAGCGATTTCACGCCTAATTTTAGGACCTCCTGGAGGCGAAAATAGGATCTATATTTGATAGACAACCCTGTAATAGTATTTTCGATCAGTATCTAGCAGTGGGAGCTGAATTAAGGGGCGTACAGGCTTTATTCGAAGATGTAAGGAAGGCGTGGAAAGCAGTAAATTTGTTATCTGTACCTTTCACGTTATAAACGCAGGAGGAGAAAGCTGCTGCTAACGGATAGGTTCGCATCGATGAAAAACTATGAGGGTTGATCTCCAATAGTCTCAAAGTCGGTCTGTGTGTATACATTGCACTTTTAGAGGGACATGTAAGCATTCGCTAATTCGAGGGATCTGAAAGACTGTTTGATTATATTAAGCTTGTCTATATACATATTTTAAGAAAATTCCGTTCATTTTTGTAAGCCTTGAGGGCACTTAACGTGCTTAACTCTAAGTGAAAATACATTTAGATAGTTCAACATTGTGTGCATTGTTATTATTTATTTGTTAATATCACGCCCATGAATTAAAAGTTCGGCGAAGCCAAATCTTCCATCGCGGGACTCGAACCAGTCGCCTCCGGCCATGTAATTGAGTATATTTACAAATAACACAAAGGTATTTACAGACAGGTATTAAGAGCTTAGACAAGTCGTTATTTTAAGGTGCGCTAATTAGCAATAATCTCGCTTTAGCGAGAGCTCAAATCTTACAAGATTCTAAGTTCATCGTGCAATGCCTCACATACGTCCTTAATAGTGCTATTCATCGGTACAATAACAAAAAAACGATACCTCATTCTAGAGGCAAAAATAATTAAAGTAAGCCAAGGTAGGTCAGGCCTCAATGCAAACAGTGCACGTATCCAGTTGATATTGTCTTGAGCGTTTTCCAGGTTTGTCTTTCATCCGTGATATGTTAACTTAGTTTGTAACCGATATTATCAATTGAATCAGAGATCTACGCGTACAACCATACTGATTCATCCCATATAGGTATAGTTAGAGAAATCAATATACATTTTAATATGAATATAATCGTTCACATGTTATAGCTATAATCCTAGATTTGCAGCAAATCGACTACTGGAAAAATGTAAAATTATCTGAACGCTGAGATGAGTCAAGGCTTTACGCATGGTTCACAACTCCGTAATGGCCTACGTGATGTATAGGGCAACACGCTGCTCTACCAGTCAGCTGGGAAGCTGAAGTCATCGTATTCGCTGCGCTTGTGGTGAGAAGTCATTTTACCCACATATTGGTCGATTGAACGATGCATAGAACTCTCTACAGCATGTCCTCCATTATCTATCGTTCGCACCTGATGGAAACTTTGAATCGTGCCTTGAAGCTTCTTTATCGGGCCGTCGTAGCCGCCTATTACCACCTATAATGAATGCCGAAAATTACAATCACCATCACCATCTAATATAAAATCTTGAATATAATAAATCTTTTCTTACGTGTACACTTCTCTAAATACACCCGATTCTTATATATTGTGGTTATTCGAAGCACTAGAGAATGCTACCGCTGATCGCATGCAAAGTTTTTATAGTTATGTCTACAGTAGAGTGTATCCCTTGCCGGAAATTAGGTTTTCAGTACGCGATCGTTTGAGTAACAATCGAACATAACAACAACACTGTATCAAAGCCCACAAAGCAAAATATAAAAAAAAACAAGGTAATATATGTGTCTTCAAAGGTTATGAAGGAAAATGATTAAGGCTGAACGCTATCTAACCTAAGCAGGCAACATTTAAGAATGTTGAAGTCTAAAACAATGGACTCGCTTGACAGAGTAAGCACTACGATATCGACACTTGTACTCTGTAGAATAATTATATGTGTTTTATTATGTATCGAAATAGATTAAACTACCAAGATATCTAGAATTGTTTTTAACCTAACTAAAACGTTTATTTCTATGGGCAGATACAACAATTTCGGTTTGTTATTGATATTAATTTTCTTGTAGATCTTCACCCGTCGTTTAGCTTTACATTCCATTCGAAAGTACTTTCCTGTTCCTCTTACGTCCGTTGTAATTGCGTTTTGCAAAGAATCGAATTTTCGTTAAGGTCAAGTTGAGGTAAAGATAAATTTTCCAGGTATAATAAATGCACTTTTGCAAGCTAATTACGCTTTTGACACTAGCGACTATAATCTGCTAATGTGGCCTGTGTACAGCGTGGGTTCTATAACTGCGGGAACTAAAAGGGGTTTGCTACTTCCAAAACTTTAATCTTACACCTGGAGGGTGTACCCAATCGTAGTCAGCCACTTGCGACAGATGAGGACAATGTACGGCAAACAGCTAATTAATTGGCTAAAAAAATAAGCTGTCAACTACAGACTAATTGTCAAAAACCTTGAATGGAGAGTTTTATCAGAAATTAAGACCCTGGTTGTGCTGTCAGCTGCTCAATTAATCTTGTTCGGCCTCGGAAACGCACAGTCACAATGGCAGATTTAATAATTATAACAAGAAGTGGTACGTTTACTTCGTCGGCATTAAAAAAGGGAATGAGAGATTCACTAACAGAGGTACACGCTAAAGCCCGAATTTGAACCTGGTGGCAGCATTCAAAAACATGATGTTTTGTGGGACAAGAAGGCTCGTTAGCAGACATGAATGTTCGAGAAGAACAAGACTGTTAACAAAGATCTATACATAGCCTCGCTGGACTGAATGAATGCGGCTATACAAAAAGACTCAATAGATAGGGCAAAACATCCTTCTCCACGATAATGCCGCGCCGCATATGGCAGAGGCTGTGAAGTCGGCCTGTAAAAGCTTGGGTCCGATGTTTTTTGCATTCAGATTCACGATAGATTATTACCTTTTTGGATTATTGGCCAATTAGCTTTTTAAGAAATTTATGCAATCTCTAAACCTAAGACGAGACCTGAAAATGTTTGGCAAAGAAGAGTGAATAGCTGGTTGGGAGACTGAAAACGATTGTGGCGAGTAACAACGAACACATAAGTTAGCTTGTTACTCAACTTACCAGTTAAACCTTCAAAGTCAGAGTATTAGACTGTTACGAGCACATCTGATAGACTTTGATAACTTTTAAGCTACCTGGGCTAGAATTATGACTATAGATCAGAGAAAAAAATCAAGGAGATTTCTCTGACGCTTGCTCCAGTGCTCTGCCAGCTTCTGGACGGATCTGCAATTATAAGCATCCCCACTGGCAATTTCCCTATCTATTACTTCTCAACGTAAATCGAATATATCTATCTTTCAGAAGCCTTTTTTAGAACATATCATTAGTCACGTGGATTTGAATCGATAGAATAAACTGGTTCAAGCCAACGTTGAATATTGTGATAATATTAATAATATCGCAATAATGCTTGGCATAGTCACCAAGCAACCAGATTGTTGTGCTAACTAATCATGAATCTCTTGAGAAACTTTAGATGGCAGGCTGCATTGAGTGTTTTATTTTCAGCGAGTAAACGATAGAAGCAAATGCATATGGTGCCATTTGAATTACTGCCATCGCCCTACGTCCGACCCTACTCGATATTGCCACCGAACACGATTCCTTTCGAGAGCGACGCTATTTCCTCGTTTAGCGTCCCGCCGGCTAGCGGTAGAGATTGAATCATGCTTTGTCTATGGTAATAGTACGTTCGAGGCGGGTTTATTGTTGATTCCAGTAATTCCGCAAATTTCACGTGGAATACACAACACGAATTTCCAACTAGTCTAGAATTCGTTCACGGAAGACCCATTCCCGCATTTTCAGTATTTGGGTTATACCTTTACAACATATTAAATGCGAAATGCGGTTTTTGAACGACAGAGTTCCTACAATCCAAGCCTCGCTTTCGGAAAAAAGCATCCTTGACTATGGCAATCCGTTTTTGTCCTTCGGGCTTAGAGAAAGCGAGAGCACTTACAAGCCACATTTTATCTGCTAGCGGCACATAATTTAAAGTCCTCATGTCTGAGGAAGATCATTGTCACGTTTAAATATCAAAAATGATCAGTGACCATTGATCCTGCTTTATGATGCCTGTGGTACTGGTTGCATTGAGCACCAATAAGTGCTATTTATAGCCATTAGAAGGAAAGCGTGCGTTTAGCAATCCGTATATGTCATTAAAGTCGCCTCGTTGAAATCCTAGGGTGGGCTAAATTCTTGCGTTCCGTTTTGTTTCTCTCATCTTTGCGTTTGTAAACAGGAGCTCACAGACTGTCGAATTTTTAGTATGGCAGTGTTTACGGTTCACGACCACAAAAAGTTATCGATTTGGAACAGCATTTTTGTTTGTAAAAACCTGTCATAATAGGGTAGGCCCACTTGTTGCAATGAAGAGCTTCAAGGAGACTGGTTCATTTGGGGATAGAGTGAGGGTAGGGAGACCAAGAGCCTGACAAACAAGCTCTAACACTGTTGTAGTACGAAACATCTTGTATGACGATCCGGCAGTCTCGACGCGACATCGTGCTTCAACAACTAGGCCTATCGAGGAATACGGCGGCGCACTTCAAATCATAAGCTGCATCTTTAATCTTACATTTGATTGGGCAGCTACAGGGCCCTACAATTTTCCTTTGTTCGTTGATCGCATATTGAAAAGCAAAGCATATACTAGCAATTTTCCTTGTGACATTCACGCTGTATGTATCACACAGTCACACAAATGAATTAGCCGTCTAGCTATATGGAAAAAAATCATTCGACCCGCGGTCTGGAGAACCCAACGGCGAGTATCGAGCAACATGGGGCTTGTGAAGCGTAGGTTTATTTAAATTTTTTCTTCGCACAAGGCGATGGAACGGCAGCAACGTCACTGGTGAATTCTATCAAACGTGTCGCAAACTTTCTGTAGACCAATATGAGGACATTGGGTGTAAACAGTCTTTAGCTTCTGTAAAAGACGGCAATTAGTGATATCCAAGAAAAATCATCTACTTAAAGCCATGTTTCCGAGCCAGCTGACCCCGTTGCGTGGCAGTGACATCTAGTGTCCACTTTGGTCCTGTAGTTTTACTCCTCTCAATTTTCCTGTCAGACTATGTGAAGGACAATGTATACCAAGCACTGCCAAAAAAAACACAATTTAACCCAAGCGTATGGCTAATGTAACTGGTACGATTAAGTCTAAACCAAATAAGACCACATATATATCCAAAATGAGTTGAGTTACGCGAGCAGTACCTAAAAAGACATGTAGCTCACATCGTTTTTATGTGTACTTCCAATTAAACTGCCTGCCTCTATTTTCCATTACGGGAGCGTTGACATTAGCCCACCCTTTACAAGGAAAAGTAGTACGCAGAGTAGGTTGTCTTCGAAAATATTAGGACACGAAGGCAATTGCAAAACTTCGTAAAGAATAAGTTGCTGACAATAACTGCAAACGAAAACGGCCAGAGCAGACGAAGCAGCTCGGTAAAGACAAAATAATGTGGGGAAATAAGCAGCACGCGGACGTAAAAAAATATGCAAAAAAGATAGGATTATAAGAATGAATTGGTTATTGTTATCATATCAGCTCGATCTATTCAAATACCTTCGTTGCGTTGCTCCGGTTAAATTCAGGTGATGCCAGGTCAGCAGCTGCACTGAGTGTGCATGGATACTCGGTACACTATTCGGCATTAATAGCTCATATGCCCGCTACTATATTTTAATTGCTCTGTTTTTTGTCTACCTGCTGAGGTTCCTCATTAATGGTACCGCACGCCTTCGCAAACCGTGTTTTGAGAACTGTCATTTATTGTCGATTGTAGGTTCTGTACGACCTCATCCCAAGTTGTAATGGCTTGAGAAAAGACTTCCTTGAGATTTTAGGCTAGGTCAATACCGTAATATATTACGACCTATATACTCCTACAACTATCTGCTAGAAAGCATTCGTACAATTACCACTTCCCTGTATGTACACAAACAATCATCTCGTATAACTCTATAAGCAGATTCACTATGCTATATAACAAAGCTTTATTGCAATTATTGATTGAAAGCTCTCTAGTTAATAATAATTTTAAATGAAAATGGTTGCTAGTAGATCGTATAGTACAAAAGCTATATAAAGAAAAAGCAATTTTCTGTAGAGATCTCAATCTCTTTAGGGGAGATATGACTAATGAACGGTTACAGTTATATCTCTTTTCTGATAGCTTGCATCTGTTGTGATCAAACCTATTAAACCATTTGCTGAATCAGCTAGCCGTCCCTGGTTGGAAGACCTGTTAAATGAGCTATTTGCAGGAATGGCATATGTTAACTTGGCTCACATTGTCACAATATTCTACTTGACCAATAATATAACGATATTTCATTTATATTGTAATCGAACTAAACCGTATTGACTTCCGGCTCCCAGCCTATTGACTTGCTCAGATCAAAGGAGTGAGTAACGTGCATGGAATACGTGCATCGTACAGAACGTGCGAAATAAGTTATTAATTGCTCATTAGGAACCACAATTTAGCGTGTCTCACATGCTAAATCGTATTCTATCGCCTGCCATATTATATTGTATCCGTCTTATGGCTAGGTCAGCTCACAAAGCTCGGGTCTGCTATGGTCTTAACGCGTGATAGCCAACGCCAGACAACTCCTTATTACACAAATAGACTACATTAGGATACTAGATATAAAAAAATGTAAGAATGAACTTTCCCAAATATGTTTTGCCTCTCTACGTTCTACGTACAAAAAGAAAAAAGCTAGTCATAGAACATCCGATTTTGTTTATGATTTTGTGGGCAAAGTATACCATCTGCCTCCTCGGCACAATTGTTCAAATATTGTGTTCTTAAACTGCGCGTTCTCTGGTTAGGCAATCATAACATGTTTTTTTGTGTCAGACTAGAAGCAGAGAATAAAACTCGAAAAATGTTCGTTAATATATTGTTGAAAAAAAAAAGGAAGTTCTCGAAAGGAAAAGTTTTCGTAATATATTGCCTGATATTGAAAGCATATTGCAGGCTTCGACTTGTGTTGCTACCAGGTCAGACGTCCTTCGAGATATTTGAAAGGTAATGGTAGCATGCTACATGTGAGCTGCACAACTTAATATACCTTAATTTAGGAATAAGTAAACAATAAAAGATACGTTACAAATTGAAACGTCGCGCTCCATCTAACATTCTGATTTCCAATATTAAACACCTTTCAGTAAATATAATTCGCACGTCTGCAACTAGGCAACGCCACCGCAATGATACTATCTTAATAGCTCAGTTTTTGAAATCTGACGTTTTGACATTCGGTAGTACACACGGTGCGGGTTCTAAACCTCGACTACCCAACGAATTCGCCGGCTACCAGTAAAACTAAATACACGGCCACCATATAAGATGTCGATTTACCTTGCTTGGAGATCCGTAGACGTGTTCGGATACCGCAGGAATATCATACACCTCAGGTTCACCAAAAGAACTTAAAAGATTTTGAAGTTGGCTAGGATCTAGGCCCATGCCAATGCCAGGGACAACAGGCAAAAACGGCCCTGATTCGAAATTTTCAAATTCTTCATCCTCATATCCATCCTGATTACCATACGAAGAGCCATCTGAATTAAACACTCCACCTTGACAAATCTCGGCATACAAAATTATCATCACCAAAGTCGCCAAAGCAAAAGAGGGATTCGCTACTGCGGTACGTCCCATTATCCTGTGTGAAGCGTAGTTGGCGTCTGCGGGGCCCGAACTAAATCCCCTCGTCACAACGCGCAAAGCTGTTGCTGATGTGAATGAAGGATACAATGATAGCGCGAGTCGAATTTTAGGCGAGGGAAACACCAGTACCGACCGTAGCGTAGCTCCGATGTTTTGTCTCGCCACATTAGACAGTACCGTTATATGTTGCCGAAGAGAAAAATATCTGGAGTCATTTATTCTGGAGGGACTCGTTCTTGTTGTAAAAAAATATTTCGAAACGAGAGAATTTAAGTTTGCACTCGATACATTCCTTCCTTTCTGAAGCTTCCGTCGTGTCTACCCATTACGTTGATTCAATCCTCCAAGAAATATTATGCAAATATCAGGCAAAATGAATACAAGTCTTTTGTATGCGGAGTTGCTCCGTAATGGTCGAACCTTGCTCATGTGGTTGATTGGTCTATTGATTTTAGAGCATAATATATCTATACCCCGCATGGCAGAGCTGCAGTGTGTCTTTAGGTGGGGCTTAAGCTTTAAATAAAATTATCGCATAACATGAAATTACTGCACACATTTCACCTCCGCCAGCTGCATTCGTAAGAAGATTGAACACCAACTGCACTGCAATGGACACTGCAAAAATCATTGAGCAGTCTCCTTTCTTAAGGGAGATTTAAACAGCGGATCTTAAGTGTTACTCTGTAGTCCCTTGTTCTCAGGGCTGTTCTCCTTTTACGTTCTTGCTTACAGAGCTGAGAATCCAACGAAATGAATGAATGAGACATTGATGCCAAGCGCAAGGTGGGTTATTGCGAATCTATTGTGACAGGGTTTCGCGTTAGCTAATACTGATTACTCAGGACCAACTGACCCTAAGGTAAGGACAGACCTGGCGCCTAGAAGTTGTGATATCGATGTCCTGCCTGCTTCGTGCCCACGACACCCCGAAATAATAGTTCTTGTATCAGTGGACAAATATGCATTCAGTTTTTTTAAATTTTAAAAATGGGCATTTCACTTCTTCTGAATCTGCTACTTCCTGTAGAAACGCAGATTCAGCCTTTTGTTTTTTTGGCCCTCAGCTCCTATTGGAACTGACAGCCCTACAGACGCGTCTTTCATTAAGACAGAGCTATATTTAACACTTTTTTTTTTCCAAAGCAAAAATCAATTTTGTTTATTCTTCAATCTACTAGCTTACGAACGTTATCTACATTTGATATCCCTTTTTAAATTTATGCATTTGTAACTTACATGGTGAATTGTGAGGCGTCCTATCGACTTGGGAGCCATAGGGGTAGGTAGCCCCCAGAAACTCGCGTTGCGACCACCTCTTCAACGTGACGTATTACTGTAGGCAATAAAATCCATTAAATTTCCAAAAAGCTTTTAAAAAAGACCTACTCCTATTTTGTATTTAAGCGAATATGGCACAGTACCACGAAACGTTACCACTAACCTGGAACCAAGTGTTAATAACAAAATATGTGTGGGGCTCTAGAGCTTGAATCGTAGGCAGTTGCTTTGTAACTAAAGTACTGGCAGTAAAGCGTAACCACGGTCAAGTGATTTCCCACGAAAATGTTACGCTCATGTTGCTGCAAATGCGTTGTAAAACTTACTTAGCTTCATAGAAACAAAAACATAAAAAAAAGTCATAAGAATCTTTTTACATTTTAAAGCTAATCAGCCAGGTGAATGGACAAATTAAAAACAAGGATAAGCAAACATGATTTTCCATTGAAGATACACTATTGTCGCTTTTTCTAGTGAAGTTTGTTGACACGCGCAGATCACGTGCTGCGCGGTGCAGCGAAAAAGGCACCTCGTCAAGGACCACACGTATCCGAAATGTACACATTTAAATAGTAGAATTGAAGGAGCTTTCTAGTATCATTATTACATGGGTTAATTTGTGAACAATTTTTTAAAAGATCCATAGTGTTATAGGAAGCAGTGTCATTCCGATACATCGCAATGGTTCTCACGGACTTGCTTAGGTTTGAGAATATCGACTGAAGCGAAAGTCTATATTTGATAAGCGTTGAAATATTGGGAAGGGGATACTTTATCAAAAATTGTGCATCTACAGAAAGTGGTCTTTAGAATTTGCGCACTCCTTATGGGGTTGCATGCTTTTTTAGCAAAGCAGCTTGTTTTACTACAATCGCAAACATTTCTTGGGGTGTTACTCATTCTGAAGCTAAAATGCAGATTATTTGCCGAGTAGACGGTGCACACTTATGATGGGTAATATATATATATTATATATCTACAATATTTTCAGGTCTCAATTGAACTTATATGCACCTTTATTAAACCAAGGCAAGCTGCTGTACATAATCAATGTAACAAACCTGCTAATGATGCTCGGCTCTGCTGTCCGATAGATGCTAACACCTTTGGCATGCCTCTGCATTGAGCTTCCTCTGGAGATGATGATAAAAATGGTGGTCTGCTTGTTTATCCAAGATCACCATCTGCATCAGTGTGGGCACACACAGGTGCACAGACGCACACAAAAACACATTAGTTGTCGCTGAAGACATTTTTGATGTGGACCATACAACGATCAGCTAACCTACTTGCATTACTAGATACGAAAAGTTGTCTTTGCTTCACGGTTTCGTCGACGAACGCAAAAAACGCTGGATTAATGCTGGCTTGGGACTTGAAACGCTTTACACAAGCAAACAGTCGTTAGTGTTATGGCCTAATGCTCGATCATTCCGGTCTGTGAAACCCCACTCTGACCGCTGCTGGAGCAATAGCTGGATCGAGCTTCCCAGAGGTTAAATATCTCTACCAGGCCTTTTAATAACGTTTTCTCTTAGTCTGCGGTCTATGCGCCAGTGTCTTAAAAGCATTAGTAAACAACACTCCTGACATGTTGATGACTTGGTTCAAACTGACGTTTGAGAATCTGGTGTTTTGTTACCAATGGATACTTCAGTGTCATTGTTTACCTTTAGAGAAATAAATGAGCAAACAGAAATGGCCTGCGAACCCTTCCGAGTTCGCAGGCCATTTCTCTAAAGGAAAGCACCCGTTATCCGACACAACCTTTGGAGGATTTTTTTGGCGCCAGTGCAGTTCGCATAAGACGCCATGTCATCCATGTAAACCAAGTCCATGATTTAATTTTTAAAACTTTATTTTTGCAGATTTTTTTAACTTCACTCTCAAGACGGTACTTTATACGTTGACAATGGACACATGAGCTATACATGAAATTGAAACCTAGGGTCGAAGCATTAATATTATGTACATTCTACGGAACCTAATTGAAATTCGTGGAAAGCTTTTTGAATATTTGCTATAATTACAAAGTCTTTTATCCCAAAGTAAAAAAAAAAATGATATTACGCAGAAGGTTAAATCCTTGCGTAGCACGTTATTTAATGCCGCTGTATTACCGGCTTGAGTGCTTGCGTCTTCGCATAGTCTTACCTAAGTGGTTTGTTTGCCCATCATTAACACCGGAAAGTAATACCGGACTTGGTAATAGAGGTGACGGTTCTTCCACATACCCGTTCTCATCCGATTTAGCTACCTCATCAAAAAACTCTAATTCTTTTGATAAAAAGGATTAAACGTTAAAAGAAATCGTCGATTTCTTATTGTATCCAAAACATAAATGGTTGTCCTTGAATGGTAGCGCGATGATATATCTACCGTCTGCAATCCTTTGCACTGTATCGTAAAATAAGTATTATGATTTTACTAAACAAGTAAGTCTGCTTTTGTCTTGATTACTTTAATCAATGGGATCGAGAGGATATTTGGTTGAGGGTTAGATAGCATTTATTAGCGAGATGGGTGCATGGCATGTTAAGATCAGCGTTACATGCAGTGCTGTTTCTACCTAAAAAAATCAACCAAATATTGTCGTAGAAGACCTTTGAATTTTTTTTTAAATCAAGCAGAACACCTATGCCTATTAACAAGTCAATACCAACAGCCCTCTGGTCATTGATCACGAGATCTGGTCCTTGATCTGCTACCAACGAGAGCTCGCGAGTATTTTTAGTTACCGGTTAGCTGTCTCTTTGTTATGCATTCGACGCAGATGTCTGGACCACTATCATCTTGTATAATGTCAAATATTCATTGCAGTAGAAAACAGCTCTTCACTGTTGCCTTAGACCTAAGCGGTGCTAGTGCCTCATGTGATACGACGGAGCACTGAGCACCCTGACCCTGCAAGGTCCTAACAAGAATTTTCTGCCGTTCACTAACAACCAGGCCCAACCAAGAAAGAGTTAACGTGAGTTGAGTGGTTACTGCACGCCGTATTTGTATGCTGCTCCGTTTAATAATCTTTTAAGATTTAATTACTGGGCCTTGTTGAATTTACTCATTTCGCAAATTCGACATTGTACCTCGTTGTCTCGCCATTGAACTACAGCAGAAGTCTGGATCAGTCTTTCTCAGATAGAGTAGTTGGCGCGTAGCTGAATGGTTCTTGAGCCAAATTGATGCTTTGCCCACTCAACAGTTTTTCTACTACGCTCATGTGGGTGAGCGGCGTTTGAATACAACAAGCGAGGGGCTATTTGTATTTTCGATAAAATCAAACTTAGCGTTTGCCCTTCTGAGCTATAACGTACTAACGTCGCTTTTATACTTCACCCTTTCCCCTAAACGAGCTTTGCAAAATTATTAATCTAAGACAACCCTCTCTTCACACCAAATCGCAAATAAATCTAGGTATTGTTTTTCAGCTTCCAGTGTTTCCCGATGTTTGTAAGATCCTGACGGTTCCGGATCGCTGCTTTAAGTAGTTGCCATTGTTCTTAGAAACGCTTGATGTCTCCAGCAAACTTCGGCAGTTGTTTATAATTGAAGGTTTGAACGGTTAGAGTGTTCCGAGACACGGATAAGTGCCCCGGTCATAGCTTAGTGGATAGTGTATTTTCCTAAAAATCTTAGGGACACATTGTGGTCGAGGTTTGAACGCAGACGTAGACAGATTAGACCTCGTTTCGTGCTTGGAGCCAGCCGTCAGTTTGACGGAATGCGTA